TCATAAATTAAACTTGGAAACAAAAGTTTGCGGTAACAAAGCGCCTTCATGTTCATCGACCTAAGGTTTTATGAAAATTATAAATAATGTCTTCGCCTATGAATCTTCCAGTGAAATTTAAAATCCAAACATGAACCAAGATGTAAAGGGAAAAAGGTCCCATGCTTTTAAAAGTCTATGGAGACATGGCATGCTATTCCTCACACTTTAGCAGCAGGATTTTAGAGTTATTGCCATGTGCTGGTCATTGGCAAACAGATTGCCTTGGTTTGCAGGAAAAAACAGTCCACCTGAAATATCAGGTGGTGGTTAATAATCCATGTCTGTTTTTCAGGATCTCCAATGTAGGGCTCAGAGCACTAATAAAAACAGCAAAGAAAAATACATAAGATACATGAATGAATTTGAAAACGCTTTAAAATGTTTATCTCCCACCGACTGAAAGTAGAAAAGGTAAACTGATTTAGCATGCACTTACAGCAGTGAGAAAAATTTTGCTATGTGGTGTCGCACCCACTCTCCAAACACAGAAATACCACAGGCCTATGAATTCTTAGACAAGGTGGCCATTTTGTTTGCCTTTTCCCTTTATTTTCACCCCTTGATGCAGCCAGTAAGTCTGTTATTTTTAAGCTGGCAGAGGGTTAAGACAACCCATTTAACCTTGGCAGAGGTGCTTACGATGGTCAGCTTTTAATAATTTCAATAAAACCTTTATCCCAAAAGAGAAAAAAAATACTGCTGTTAACTGTGCTGTGTTAACTGGAATTTGGCTTAAAGTAGAACTAAAGTCACTATACTTCCCTCATTTCTATCGGTCCAAAGTCTTTGAGGCGTCCCTCTCAGGCATCTTCTTTCCTGTTCCTTCTGGGTGCCACCTTTGGACATCTTTATTGGTCAGAGCTGGGTGACGCAACTCCTGCTCATGTGCAGGGACTGTGCCAGTGATGTAAACTGAGATGCACATGCGCAGCTCAGTTTTCATGCCACAGAAGACTGCGAGAGGGCATGTAGGTGTATTTTATTGCAGCAGAGACATTGCATGTCTTTTCTGTGATAAATAGCCTGGCTGCTCATAAGTTTTATTAAATAGCCTTCCATACTGCTTTAGCAGATTTAGATGGACTTGACAAACAAATTTAGAGTATCTAACAACACCCACTCTACAGTGCCACTGTCCAAAAGGTGTCTCTATTGCACCTCCACAGAAGTGGAGACACCCTAAGACAGAATTGTGTTACTGACCAGATCACCTGGTGAAAATAAAGAAAAACAAGCCTAAAAAAACAAAAAAAAGAAACAGATGCATTCATCCACATTTAAAAGGTGTGGTAAGCTACAATATATTATATTTTTGTGTTTTGTATTTATTAGTGTTTTTCTTACCATAATAAACCCAAAGTTTAGTGACACCCAAAATTAACAATTACACTTGTCACGTGGCCACTCAAAGTGACCCCACCCTCAAGGCCTCCCCCCTTATTGGTGATATAGCATACCTAAAAGCACAGTTGGACATTTAGTTAAATTGGCTAAATACATTCCAAGTGGGTCAAAACAAAAGGTTTGCAACGTCTTACAGTCTGGTCTTTTAAAAATCAGCCACAGATTAGTAGAAAGGACTGTGCCCTGCCAGCAGAGACGTCCGTAGGGTTGGTGTCACCTGGTGCCGACGATCCGTGCAGATCCATAATGGATCGGACTCCGATCCATTATGCTCAATCCGCACATCCAATCTATCCTGCGGGGATCATCAGCTTTCTTTACAACTTACCTTTTCTTGGAGCGGGTCCGGTGTCACCCAGTATAGGTTGCATGCCGACGATCCTGCAGGGATTGCCGGCATGCAACCTATGCGGGGTGACACCGGACCCGCTCTAAGAAAAGGTAAGTTGTAAAGAAAGCTGACGATCCCCGCAGGATGGATCCGATCCATCCTGCGGGGATCGTTGGCTTTTACAACTTACCTTTTGTGGAGGGGGTCCAGAGTCACCCGGTGTGGACCGCACCCCCGCACCTGCCTCGGGAAGCCTCTGCCTGCCAGCATGCTGAAAACTGGGACCCTTGCAATCTGGAGGGGAATCAGTAATCTCTCTACAGAGCCCAGAGCTCTCCAGTCAGTGGGGTACATGAGGTATGCCAACTGCACACTTACAGGGCTAACTGAAGGAAGGGGTCCCACGCTACAGCTGCTAACTGCTACTAAGGCTGTGGCTGCTTTAGAAATGTAATTAACTGTAAGACATCAAACATCTGGAATGTATTTAGCCGATTTTAACTGAAGGATTAACCAAAGCAGCCCAAAGATGCTATGCAAATGCTAGACATTTAGCCCGACCTTACTACCCATATAATGGGACGCCTGTTCTTGAAGTTAATTTTATTCCGGGCGTTACAGTGGTGGAATAGGGCAACAGGCAATGACTCTTGACCTGAGAAATTGTTCTACTTTGCTGTATAAGATGTACATACACAAACTCTTGAAGAGAAAATGAAGCTGCTCACTATTTAAAAGCCTTAAAGTAAAACTTTATTCAGAAAATGAAGTCCTCCTAGATAACTTCTGGCTGGCCTCTTTGGCAAGTGTAGATATGTAAAACATTAAAAATAAGTGCTTATACTGTTTAAAATCCAGTAATACACTGTCTCACCATGTTCTGCACTTGCTCAGTTGCTCTTTTTAGGCACTGCTGAATTTGTAGAGTCCAATCTGCGGACAGCCTTACATCCCAGTCACATCAGGTACAACTTGACATGCGATCTGCGTGCCATGCAACTTGCAAATCATATGCCAAGTCACACCCTATCTTCCGCTATTAGAGACTTGGTCATAGCCGCACCGATTTCTAAAGTAGTACATGCATTACTTTTGGTGCGATTTGCATAGACATCTGTGTCAGATGTCTTGCAAATCGCACCTCAAATCGGCAAGTCACCAGACTATGAAATCGTGCGACTTCACTATAAGTCGCACAATTTCAAAATCGGCTTTGATGTGACCGAGGTGTTAGGGCTCGTTCACACTTGGCTGTTTTGCCAACGCTTGCCAAACGCCCTATAGCGTTTGGCAAGCGTTGGTCCGGCGTTTGCGGAGCGTTTTTTTAACGCTTGGCAAACGCTTCGCAAACGCCGCATGAGCGGTTTAGCGGAGGTTGCTAGGCGTTTGCCAAGCGTTAATAACGCCCCACAAAACGCCTATAATGCAGTTTGAGTGGTGTTACCGCTCCGCAAACGCGTCGCAACCGCACCGCAAACGCCGGCCGGGCGTTTGCGGAGCGGCACCATAGACGAGAATAGGAGGCTTCAACGCCTCCCGACTCGTCCGGAGGCGTCCGTTTTGCCGCGACGCAACGCGACGCAAACGCTCCCGTTAGAACAGCACCATGTGCTGTAATGTGCAGAATTGGCAGAGGCGTTTGGGAAGCGGTAGAAACGCTTCCCAAACGCCTCTCTGCCGCCTGCACACAGCGCTAGTGTGAACGTAGCCTTAAAGCGGAATTAAACCCTCCTACAGCCAAGGAAACTGCTTCTGTTTGATCTGCAACTGCCATGATGCTGCACATGTGATCAAGTATGACTCCAGCCATTTGATGGTTTGACAGTTCGGTTGAGGACCCAAAAATGTGACAGTTAGCAATCCCGGCATTCCAGGAATGTAACGGATTTTTAAACTGTTAAAATAGTAGTTAATAGTAGTATGTAGTTCCGCTTTATGATTTCCAGCTGTTCAGAGGCTCTCGGCTTCAGCAAAATGACAGCCTCCAGCAAGAGGAACAATGCTGGAGGCAATATACAGCACACGCTAATGATGGTAGCAGAACTATTAGGCCTTGTACACACCATATGAGCAGAAAAAATGATGGATACTGACGCGCAGATTTCACCTACAGAGACATCAGTTCAGAAAAAATCTGCAAGGGATACCAGTGTTGTGTGGTGTGAACAGGGCACAGAGAACTGATGTTGTTGTGCCCTTGCAGAGCGTGTGCAGAAAAACTGACATCTCTGCAAAATGGTTTGGCGAGCCCTTACTGTGGAATATACTGTATGCTCCTTTCAAAAGAACATTTGTGTTTTATCAAGTTCTTATGGGTAAAGATCCACTATAATTTCAAGATTATTAACCACTTACCTACCACCCTATAGCAGATATACTGCTACAGGGCAGCCGCTCTTTGCAAAATCACTTAAATATTCGTGATTTTGCATTTCCGGGTAAGAGGCGCTCAGCCCTACCCTTGCTGCCATTGGTTGCAGAGGATGTCAATCACCGAGTCCCGGCCGGTGATTCTCAGCCAGCACTCTGATCACAACTGAAGCAGAGTAGGGATGAGAAGGGAGAGATCTGAGTGTAAACAACACAGATTTCTCTCCTGTCAGCATGGACATGCTGCTTTCTCTCTCTAAACAGAAGAGAGGGATTTTATTTTAGCAAAGACATGTAGCAGAATACATATTGGCCTAAATTTATGAAGAAAAGTTTAAATTTTTTTTATTGGATATGTTTTATAGCAAAAAGTCAAAAATAGTGTTTTTATTTTTTCAAATTTCTGGAAGAAAGCTCTAGTTGTGGGGGAAAAAAAAAATTACAAATTTAATTTATGTACAGCGTTGCATGATCGCGCAATTGTCAGTTAAAGTAACGCAGTGCCGTATCGCAAAAAATGGCCTGGGAAGGGGGAAAATGGAAGGGGGGGTAAATCCTTTGGAGGGCAAGTGGTTAAACTCTCCATCGTACAGACTGTACCATCTGGTTTACAAATACAAGGTGATATAGTCTGTATGATGAAGAGTATATTAAACTAGAATTAAGGTTTTTAACAGTAAGTGGCTTCCCTTCCACTTTGAGAGTTTGTGTGTGGAACAGCTAGCAACTGCCAGGAGCCAGCTCCCTGAGCTGGAGGATCAGTGAAGAACAGTGCCTGCAGCAGAACACTACACCTTGTCTCTCACCATAGATGTACTTACATTATACATAACCTAGAAGAAAAATGATGAGCTTACCATCCAGGTCGGATAACTGTAAACTTCCCAGGTATAGACAAGTCAACCACTGTTGATCCCAACCGACACTCTGGGCTCTGCAAATCTCCAATAGGTCCTCCATCAACCACTAGCGACAACATAGGCCACAGGTCCCTAAATTCCTAACAACAATAAAGAACAACCACCAATTGATTTATTCACATTATTTTTTATTTAATATATAAAACAAAATAAATACAGTGGCAAGGAAAAGTATGTGAACCCATTAGCATTAATTGGTTTTCTGCAGTAATTTGCTTTAAATTGTGATCTCATCCTCATCGAAGTCACAACAATAGACGAAACACAAGGTGCTTAAGCTGATAACACACAAACAATTCTTAACTTCTCATGTCTGTATTGAACACATCCATTAAACATTCACACTGTTGGAGGAAAAAGTAGGTGAACCCTTGGTGTTAATAACTAGTCAAACCTCCATTGGCAGCAATGACTTCAAGCAAGCAATTTCAGAAGCTCTGGATCAGACCTGCGCAGCATTCAGGAGGCATTTTTGACCATTCCTCTTTACAAAACTGCTTCAGCCAAGACACATTTGTAGGATGTCTGGTGTGAACGGCTCTCTTGAGGTCATTCCACAGCATCTCTAAGTGGTTAAGCTCTGGGCTCTGACTGGGCAACTCCAAAAAGGTACACATTCTTTTTCTGAAGCCAGACTTTGATGGGTTTAATGCTTTAGGGTCATTGTCCTGCTGCATCACCCAACTTCTACCAAGCTTCAGCTGGCGGACTGACACCCTGACGTTATCTTGTAGAATATTTTGGTAAAATGTGAGAATTCATTTTCTCCTTGATGATGGCTAGCCGTCTAGGCCGTGAGGCAGTGACGCAAGCCTGAATCACTATGTTCCTTCCGCCATAATTCACCATTGGGATCATGTTTTGATGTTGGTAAGCTGTGCCGTTTTTGCGCCGTGCATAGTTCTCTGTATTCTTCCTGAATATATGTTTTATTTTAGCAGCCCACAAAACATTTTGCCATTTGCTTTGCGGTTTGCCAAGGTGTTCTTAGACAAATTTCAGCAGCTAAGCAAAGGTTTTTTTTTTATGGAGAGCAGCAACTTCTTCCATGGTGTTCTGCCATGGACACCCTGCCTGTTCTTATGTATGGTAGGCTCATGAACAGGGATGTCTGCCAGTTCCAGTGATGTTTGCCAGTTCCAGTGATGTCTTGAAGCCTTCAAGCCATTACGCAAAGGTTCTTTACCTCAATGAGGATTCTATATTGTGCCTTGGGAATCATCTTGGCTGGGTGCCCACTTCTAGGCAGAGTAGCCACAGTACCAAACAAGTCTCCATAGACAACTTGTTTAACAGTTAACTGATGGATGACAAAACACTGAGATTGCTCTGCATCCCTTTCCGTAGAGCTCCTCTTTGTGAGGCATGGTTCACATCAACTGATGCTTCTTATAAACAGCCATCTTAAAATGTTTGAGTGTATGTTATCAATTGAAGTAGCTCGAAACCACACATCCAAACTCACTTCCTCTCCAATTAGTTTTTGTTTTAGTAATTAGTCTATGGGTTCATTTAGGTTTTCCTCCAGCACTGTGAATGTTTAATGAATGTGTTCAATAAAGACATGAGAAATTAGAATTGTTTGTGTGTTATCAGCTTAAGCACATTGTGTTTGTCTATTGTTGTGAGAGAAGAATCCAATCACATTTTATGGAAAATTAAGACAGAAAACCAGTTACAGTGCCTTGAAAGTATTCATACCTCTTGAAAATTTTCCACATTTTGTCATGTTACAACCTAAAACGTAAATGTATTTTATTGGGATTTTATGTGATGGACAAACACAAAGTGGCACATAATTATGAAGTGGAAGGAAAATAAGTGGTTTTCAAAATTTTTTTACAAATAAATATATGTGAAAAGTGTGGCATGCATTTGTATTCAGCACCTGAGTCAATATTTTGTAGAACCACCTTTCACTACAATTCCAGCTGCAAGTCTTTTTGGGTATGTGTCTACCAGCTTTGCACATCTAGTGGGTGACATTTTTGCCCCTTCTTTTTTGCAAAATAGCTCAAGCTCTGTCAGATTGGATGGAGAGTGTCTGTGAACATCAATTTGTAAGTCTTGCCACAGATTCTCAATAGGATTTAGGTCTGGACTTTGACTGGGCCATTCTAAACACATGAATATGCTTTGATCTAAACCATTTCATTGTACCTCTGGCTGTAAGTTTAGAGCCTTTGTCCTGCTGGAAGGTGAACCTCTGGCCCAGTCTCAAGTCTTTTGCAGACTCTAACAGGTTTTTTTCTAAGATTGCCCTGTATTTGGCTCCACCTATCTTTCCATCAACGCTGAGTAGCTTCCCTGTCCCTGCTGAAGAAAAGCATCCCCACAACATGATTCTGCCACCACTATATTTCATGGTGGGGATGGTGTGTTCAGGGTGATGTGCAGTGTTAGTTTTCCACCACACAGTGTTATGCTTTTAGGCCAAAGTTCAATTTTGGTCTCATCTGACTAGGGCACCTTCTTCCACGTTTGCTGTGTCCCCCACATGACTTTTCACAATAATCGCTCTCTTCTTGCCACTCTTCCATAAAGGCCAGATTTGAGGAGTGCACAACTAATAGTTGTCCTGTGGACAGAGTCTCCCACCTGAGCTGTGGATCTCTGTAGCTCCTCCAGAATTACCATGGCTGCTTCTCTGATTAATGCTTTCCTTGCCCGGCCTGTCAGTTTAGGGGAACAGCCATGTCTTGGTAGGTTTGCATATTTGCCATACTCTTTCCATTTTTGGATGATGAATTGAACAGTGCTCTGTGAAATGTTCAAAGCTAGGGATATTCTGATTTTATAACCTAACCCTGCTTTAAACTTCTCTACAACTTTATTCCTGACCTTTCTGGGGTGTTCCTTGGCCTTCATGATGCGGTTTGTTCACTAATGTTCTCTAACAAACCTATGAGGGCTTCCAAGAACAGCTGTATTTATACTGAGATTAAATTACACACAGGTGGACTCTATTACCTAGTTTGGTGACTTCTGAAGGCAATTGGTTCCACTATATTTCAGTTAGGGGTATCAGAGTAAAGGGGGCTTAATACAAATGCAAGCCATACTTTTCAGATATTTATTAGTAAAAAACTGTAAACCATTTATCATTTTCCTTCAACTTTACAATTGTGTGCCACTTTGTGTTGGTCTATCACATAAAATCGCAATAAAATACATTTAAGTTTTTGGTTGTAACATGGACAAAAAGTGGAAAATTTCAAGGGATATGAATACTTTTTCAAGGCATTGTCATTTCAGGGGGTTCACATGCTTCTTCTTGCCACTGTAAATAAATGTAGGTCACCCATGAACAACTGTATTACAACTACATTTTCACACATACTGTTAGGTAGGCAACATTACACAATTCAGCCTCATAGGCAGTGCTGACTGGTCATTACTCTCACTTTGTTGGTCTGCTTGTTTATTAACATAAAAACTAAAAAGTTAGACGTGATGTTCAATTAAGAACAGAAGCTTAGAAAATATTGGATTTAATGCACGGGCTCTAAAACATCTTGTACTATTCTATAGTGTTGTTTAAACCTCACAGAAAAGATTGAAACATTAGCTCTAAGGCAAAAAAGCAAGCAACGCCCTTGTGCATACTTCTTTATCCTGCGATAGTTTATGGTTTTTTGGCAATTGTGCATTGCTTTAAAACACAAGTAAGATTTTTAGCTTTCAGCACTTCCATAAGTGGCAGTGGTTAGCGTCTCCTGTCACTCAGAGACATAAGGGCTGACAGAAAGTACCACTGAGTGTGGCTAGGAGCCAGGCATCCGACACACCTGAAGTGAAGTTTAGAGGCACAGGGAAAGGGACAAGTATTCAGTGTTTTCTTTTAATATATGGCTTAATTTTATTTCTTTGTTTGTAAACAGAGTTACTTTATTATTAGGTATACATCTGGAAGTCACAACTTAGCTTTAGTGGTAATACCTCTACTGTCAATGTGCTCTCCTGCGTACTGATGTTGGCACTTGTTAGTGCCAAGGGCTCCGAGCAGATCTGTGCCAGCTGTCTGATGAATGCATGGTCAGGAATACGAACACCAACCAACTAAAATAAGATGAAACAACGTATGAACAAATTGAATAACAAGATGTTTTGCCAAGATCTGAAAATCCAATTACAAACAGTGTGTGTGTTCTCTGCAATAATACTCACAGAAGTATAAGGATTAAGCTCCTTATTAAGGCCATCTGAGCGTTCCATTACAAGAGTAACTGGTCCTGGTAACAAGTCACGAAACAATTGGTCTGGAACATTAACCTGACAGTACCTGCAGATATCACAAGAAATTAACCTGCAATAACTGACAGGTATTTATATAAGCAACACGCAAACAGTTGGGTTGGAGACAAGTTTAGAAACCAGTAATTTCAATCTAGAAGCCGACAATTTTAAAGCTGAATGTTATGCAAATAAAATACTAAAAAATCTAGTTACATAAACATAAAAAATTAGGTGTATTACAAAACAAAAATCATTAAAATGTCTTTTTAAACTGAACAAGTATTAACCGCTTCCATACCAGGCACTTTTACCCCTTCCTGCCCAGGCCATTTTTCAGGTTTCAGTGCTCTCACACTTTGAATGACAATTGTGCGGTCATACAACATTGTACCCAAACTAAAATGTTATCATTTTCTTCACACAACTAGAGCTTTCTTTTGGTGGTATTTTAATCACCGCCAGGGTTTTTATTTTTAGCTAAATTAACAAAAAAAGACCGAACATTTTGATTAAAAAGCACGTTTTTCTTTGTCTCTGGTATAAAAGTTTGCAAATACCGTATTTTTCGCTCCATAAGACGCACTTTTTTCGCCCCAAAAAAAAGGGGGGAAAATGTCAGTGCGTCTTATGGAGCGAATGTAAAGCGGCTGGTCCGGTATTTCTGCCGCCACCATGTCAGAATATCGGGCCGGCCGCTCAGCTCTTCTCTCCTGCAGGACCTTACCTGTTCCTCACTCCAGCGCTGCAGTCTTCCCGCAGCGGCTTCTGTGACAGCCGGGTGCCCACTGCGCATGCGCGAGAAGCGCTGCGCTTTGTGAATGGTCCGGTGTCTTCTGGGACATGACAGGTCCCAGAAGGCTCCGGGCCATTCACAAAGCGCATCGCTTCTCGCGCATGCGCAGTGGGCACCCGACTGTCACAGAAGCCGCTGCGGGAAGAAGGAAGGACAACTCCACGGAAGTGGGAGCGGGTACCTGTCAAATTCAGGTACCCGTTCCCCCTCCCTCCCCAAAAGTCCACAGTCTCTGGTCAACCCCTGTACCGTGTCCGCGGTCTCTGGTCAACCCCTGTACCGTGTCCGCGGTCTCTGGTCAACCCCTGTACCGTGTCCGCCGTGTCCGTGCGGTCTCTGGTCAACCCCTGTACCGTGTCCGCGGTCTCTGGTCAACCCCTGTACCGTGTCCGCGGTCTCTGGTCAACCCTGTACCGTGTCCGCGGTCCATTGGTTCAAAATATTTTTTTTCTTGTTTTTCTCCTCTAAAACCTAGGCGCATCTTATGGTCAGGTGCGTCTTATGGAGCGAAAAATACGGTAATTGTTCTTCATAAAATTTAGGCCAAAATGTATTCTACTATTTGTCTTTGGTGAAAATAACCCAAATTAGGATGTATTTTTTAGTTTGTAGGAAAGTTATAGAGTTCACAAACTATGGTATAGATCTGAATATTGATCAATCCTGAAGTACTGACAGCCAATCTAATTTCTTGAGGTCCAAGAATGTCAGAACAGTACCAATATCTCCCAATGACCCCTTTTTGCAAAGTAGACAGTCCGACATACTTCATAAGAGTCATGGCGAGTTTTTTGAAGTTGTATTTTTTTGGTCATAATTTTTCAGAAAATGAAAAAATTAAAAAAATTATTTTCACTATTTTTTTTTTTTACATACTGTCACCAGTGCAGTACAGCATTATTATATAACTGGCATGGCGGTGATCAGGGACACTGACTGGTGACAGTAATTTTAATTATTTTTATTACATTTTTCTTTTTTTTTAAGATTTGTTTTTCATATTTCACTATGTCCAAAGTAGTACAATGTTACCATAGTAACATGTACAACTTTGGGGAAGTGATAAGTATTTTTTTCTTTTTTACACAATTTGCTTATAGCAAAGAACTACTTTGCTATAAGCAAGCATTTACCTGAATTACATCGATTCATTCAGGGGTTTTTTTTTTTTTTTTTTTTTTTTTTCGTGCTTAGCTGTGATTTTTGGCCACAGCTAATCACATGACATGTGCATATGATCGCTGTGACCATTCACAGCTAGACACTAGTATACAATGGATGGCATGAATGAAGTCATCCACTGCATACAACTGTCATGTGACCTGCTGTGATTGGTCTCTACTGCTTTAAATAGTGCTGTAAGCCTAACACGGTAACCAAACTTAAAGGAGAAGTTCACATTTGGAACATGTTACATTTTCCACCTGTTTTAAGGTTGGAACATGTTCCAGCATCTGCAGCTTCTCCCGATCTCCCCCTTCCTGTGACAGCAGGTGGGGGATCCTCTCCCTGAACCTGCTGTCACTATTTGAAAACAGCGGTTTCCTGTAAATGGATAGACTACGAGTACTGTCAGCCATTGAGGCTTACGGCTTGAAGCTCTCAAACTGCAATGGCGCTGGTGAGCACTTTCATAGTCCACTGATCTTCCTGCTCTGAAATATCTACCTGCCCTGCAAGTCTGCAGGAGCCTGAGATTGCGGGTTCAATGCTCTGCAGGCAAAAATTAAATGAGAAAAAAAAAAAAAAAAAAAAAGCTCCCCCCCCAAAAAAAACTTCAGTTCTGCTCTCTCTCTATACCAGCTCCCAACCCCTCCCTCCGCACCACCATTATAGCATATGCACAGATGTGCCAAACGGCTTTTATAGCCTTCGGGTCCTGGCGGAGCCCTTCAGCACATTTACGCACACAGGTGCTTTCCCACATATGCGCAAAGACAGCAAAGCCTCCTGACTTCCCTATTAGGTGAAGGCTAATAGGGAAGACTGTAAGGTCAAGGTCAACTCCGCAGGCATCATTCTGCATAGGGACCAGGCTACTTGAACGGTCACAGGTCCCTGCTAACCTTGTAGGTTATGGGGTCCCAAGAAGATAGGGGTAAAAATGAGGTGTACAGCAGTGTCCAAGGATATAGAGCTCTGCTGAAGGATTGTACACATGTGGGGGTACCACTCCAAGGCAAGTTTCTACGGGAGTAGAAAAAAAAAGGGGTCCCAGGGTACAGCAAACCCAGAGAGACCTGGGAAGAAATACTGCTATGTGCAGTAACACCAAAAAAATGGTAACGAGCAGCTGAAGGAGATGTCAAACAAAAGGGTTTAGCCAGTGAGTTACAGAGGATGACCTAAGCACTCAAATGCTGAGGAGGGAAACTACCCAAGGACCCATTTGGATATACAGACAGCTCCCCAACTTGCAGAGGTTAACTGAACTCTGGTTTTGAGCTCTACAACCTGAGTGGGAGCCAGGCTCTGAATGTCAATGTATACTTACTGCTTAAATAGATGGACGAGAGGGGTAGGATTCCTCCAACCCTTCCACAGGCCAACTGTGAGGTTGCTAATGACGGTGTCAAGAGCACAGCTGAAGACACAATATCCCTCAAAGTCAGGGCTCGACAATTTCCAGGCACCACGTCGCTATGGCGAACAGAAACCGAGTCAAAGGGCCTGGGCCCCCCATCAGCCACACTGATCTGTTGTCCCCACACACCCCACGTCCTCAGCCGGAAACTCTTCCCCACCCCACAGAGTGGGGTGCCAGCATTCCAGGACCCCCGGAGTCTCCCCCATCCCTCCCCGTGCACAGTTTCCAAGCAGAACACAGAGCTGCACAGCTCCACGAAAATCAGCCACCAGGAGAACACTGCAGCCCCCCCCCCCGGGCCCATGGAGTGCAAGATGCGGCCTCCCACACCAACCACACAGCCCATAAATGCCGCCTTCAACTGCAGTGGTGCTCCCTATCAGAGGACCGGAATCACCAGGGCCACCAAGTCTCTCTCCCTGTGCGATAGTGGACAGCCCCACCTCCAACACGGTACCGAACCCCCCAACAGACCACAATAACCAGGTGGACATCTGGAGGAGCCACTGCTGGACAGGTGAGAGCTGTCCTGCTGCCCCGTCTGGTGATGCTGCCCCCCCCCTCACCTCTCTGCCCCCAACCTATCCCGCTGCTGCCCTCCTGTGACGCTGTCCCCCATCTTGTCCTCCTCCTGTGACACTGCCCCCCCATCTTTCCCACTGCCCCCCACCCCGCCACCTGTCCCGCTGCCCCCCCCCATCTGTCCCTGTCCCCCACCTATCCCGCTGTCCCCTCGTATGATGCTGCCCTCATCGGTCTTGCTGTCCCCTCCTGTGACACTGCTTCCCAACTGTGATGCTGCTCCCCTCCCATGATGCTGCCCCCCCCCACCTATCCCACTGCCCCCCTCATGTGACGCTGCTTCTCAACTGTGATGCTGCTCCCCACCTGTCCCACTGCTCTCCTCCTATGATGCTGCCCCCCACCTATCCTGCTACCCCCCCTCCTGTCCCATTGCCTCCTCCCATGATTATTCCCCCTCCTGTCCCGCTGGCCCCCACCGGTCTTGCTGCCCCCCCCCTTGTCCCACTGTCTTCCTTCTGTCTTGCTGCCCCCCCCCCTCCTGTGATACTTCCCTCCCCCTATTCCGCTACCCCCCCCCCCCCCCCCCCCCCCCATCTGGCTCTTAACTTCTTTTAGCTGGCTCCTAGATTTTCAAAGCAAATTTATCAAGCCCTGCTCAAAGTATAATTGAATCAGATGCTCTTTGGACAGATCAACGTTAAAGATTAAAGCTACCTGCCAACAGGACAGAAGACCATCCTGTGATCTAAGGACAGAATTTTACTGACTGTCAGTAAAATCCAGAAAAGGTAAGCACACCTGCAACCTGCTTGTCTGGGGTTTGCCTGTTTTAAAGTGAATCACTGGTATAACCATGGTGAGAACAAAAGCACATATTTATAAATTCCTTCTCAAAGGGAAAAGTTTCAATGTATTTCTCAGGTGGATCCCAGAAAACTATGGGATGTTAAATGCTATAAAGAAACCAAGACTTGGAGCAGCAGACTGATCCTCCAGATGCAGGCTAGTACACACTGCAATCATAAGGTCTGAAACAACCCTCTGCAAATATGAGTGAACTGTAGGATACTGTGGTACCTCAAAATGCATCTCTCCGGTAATAGAATGTTGGGACTCTGAATCAGAGCTGGTAACAGGGCCCACAGAATTTAATTTAGGGGGCCAGAAGAGTAAGAAAGAGAGACTCTGAACTGTCAAAGATGAACTCTGCATGGGGTGGCAACACATGGCGCCAGAGCATGCTTAAAACCTCTGGAGGGCAGAGTGTTCCCAATATCTGATCACAAGCAGTCAGGAAGTCCAGAGTGAAAATAAAGGTCCCTGTGGACATGGGAAGGCCTCAGCCCAATTGAGCCAAGAAAGACTCTAAGGACAATTACCCTATGACAAAAGGGGTTCCAGATTACGTATGTTGGTTCCTTCTGGGGCTACCTGATAAATGCCCCAATACCACTAGTGTATGGGCTGAGGTCACCCATGGGACTGTCCTTGATGTGTCTTAGCATATACATGTTCTGGCAGGCTGGGGGTGGCTAGATGAGGCAAGGTGGTGGAAAACAGACAAAGGATTCACCTGGTGGTTTTGGAGCAGCAGGAATATGATTACTTCAAGCGGAAAGAGGGAAAGTGCAATCCAGCACTCCACCCAGCAGATCATTGCAACTCTAGATCCCACAACCTTAACCGTTACCTAAATGAAACAGGTGGTGGAAGGAAATTTGAATCAATGCCCAACGGTCCACTGAGTCTTCAGAGACAGGGTCACTCCCCCGAGGCTGTGCGTTGGCTCTGAACCCAGAAATCACCACAGGTCTAATTTACAGTACACTAACATAGGTATCTTTTTTAAAAGGGCACTGGGGAGGAGTCAGGTGGAGCCAGCTCATCACTGCAGTACCATCCACTCAAAATTTACATTTTGCTGACCTTATGTCTATCCGAACTAACATACACAACTTTACCTAAATGAACAGCAGAAGACAGTAAACCTGATGGCGGTATTACATGTGTCAACATTCCAAATGACATTGGACACTAGCCTGATTTCTCCTTTCATACCCCTTATTAATGTATATGCAGAAAATAAAAGTACACATTATTACCCAATGCAAAAAAAAAAAACAAAAAACAAACACTGCAAATCAGTTCAATCTACTGAGGAATAGCACTGTAATCACACACACAAAGCAAAATATCATCATACACTCTTAGCTGCGGTTCCTGAGCCCTTTGTAGAATTTAGTGTGCACAGGGAGGACGTGCAGTCTTTCTAATCCAAAGTAAACTGGCTCTAAGGAAGAGGTGTGTACCACATAGGACACACCAGCAGTAATCAACATCTCCTGAAGTCCAGCAGGCATGCCAAAGATAGTGGGCCCTGTTCAACAATTGGCATTTGCAGACACAAAGTGTGCAGCTGCAAAGCCTTTCAATAAAATTTGGAGGCACATAGTGGGGGAACTGAAGATTACAGAGGAACACAGTTTGCCACCAAGCAACTGAGGCAAAAGCAGATAGGATAGAAACAGGTAAGGCTTCTTTGAGTGTATGCAAACCCAAGAACAAAAATATAATATTGCAGCTCAGATGTGGTGGTTGTATTAGTTTTCTTTTTTTTTTCCAGGCTTTTTCTCTTATTTTTCACTTCAGGTCTTTAGGTGACAATACTTAATCACTGTACTATATCCATGGAGCAGTGTTGCCACCCTGGGAGAGGAAGTATTGGGACTACAAAACATCCCCCCTCTCCTCTTCTCCATAAAGTGTTCTGCAGTCATTATACACTACTTGATAATATTACTTGAGATAAGCTTCCAAGTGCATGTGACATCACAGCATTCCTGGCAGGATCAACAGGTATTTTTGAATGGAACAGATATAAAACACTTTGAATTGTATATTTATGAAAGAAAAAGGGGAGCAAATTAGAGAAATTCTTATTAGGGTCTACATTTACATGTAATCTATTCATCTGTCACATTTACATTTCTGTACATGCTGCTGAATCTAACCACAGTTTGCACAACTTTAATTTTAAATTAGATGCAAAAACCGATTCTGACAACCTTATTGCAGTTCATTGACTACACAATGCCTATCAAATACCGATATGTATTTGTTAGTAACAATAAGAATTTACTAACCTGTATATATCCTCAATGTCTCCAACACATATAGCTAAAGGTTTAGTTCCATTTCTTCCTTTCACATTGTAGATGTTGCTAATAGACTGAGAGTTCTGTGCCAAGCAGGCAATGCCATAGATGGTATCAGTGGGTACACCAATGACTCCACCTTGCTGTAAAAGACCAGCTGAAGTATTTAGTATTTCTTTCCAACCTGCAACATATGAAAGGACCAAAATTTGGAATAAATTGTGTTAAGCTCAGAGTCTTGTGTTTTGAAACACAAATGAAAAGTAAATTCTCTACTGCCCAACTCTGTACATTTTCTACATGATACCACTTCACTCCATAAACTGTGGTACACTCTCTACCCAATGCCATCCACCTAACTTTAGGTTGTATGTGTTGTTACAATCCCCCCCATGGCCACAATGGGAACTATTTTGCTATTTTACATACAAATAGTCAAACTATGTAAAAAAACATACAAGCAGGGTTTAAACCACTCGAGAATGTGCTTCACATGTTGCTGACGCTTTATTATAAAATTTTAACTTCATATAGATATAAAAAGAAAGCAAAAAAAAAACCAAAAACGAAAAAAAAAAAAAAAAAAAAAAAAAAAAATACCAAATGAACACATTTTATGTATTTGTTGAATGTATTTCTACAAGTAATTCGTTTAAGAACTCAGTATAAACACAAAGAAAAAAGTACTCAGATTTATTTAGAAATTCTATGAAGTCCCTCCACTACAGAACTCAGATGGAGGACCAGCACCACAATCCAATCAGTGCACATGTGCTGACAGGAGGAGACAGAACAGCGCAATGAGCGACAACTTCTCAGTATACAGCTTTTTCTGAATTTTGCCATAATGCTAAGGCTTGAAAACTGGCCTATTCCTGCTGAATTGACCAAGATTTGAGCTGTGGCCAGTCCTGTTGGAATAAAAAAAAAAAAAATGGGTGGAACACTGTCAAACAAGCAATGACTGCATTCAATTAGATGTAGTCACTGGGTATTCATACAGCTACGGATGTCGCTGCTGTCTGAATACAACAGCTGGCAATGTAGATTCCACTCAAGTATAAGGCTTGCATAATGCCTTGCTCAAACTGGTGCAAGGAACAGGCACTTGCTTCAAATTATTAAAGCTTTCCAAATGCATTGCCTTTTCTGTAACATAAAAGCAAAGGGTCAGGTGACAAAAAATTCAGAATGTGTTTGCATTGATTTGCATCTCCCTAGCAATTTTTTCCTGGCATTAGCAACTTGCAAAACTAGCCAAATCCCTCATTTGAAGTCAATTCCCTTCCAAAAAAAAAAAAAAACCTGTTTAACAAGGCCCTGAAAAATTTACATATGCCTCAAACACTAGTCAAAAACGTGCTAATAATGTGTTTCTTTTTAACACCTGAGTGAACTTACCCTAAGGTTTTGACCAAGCAGTGATGGAGTCAAGGTCAACGATCTGGCTCTGCTGTCTGGCAGAGATGCCTGGATAGCAAGAATAGCTGAACATAATTACAAAGCCTTTGGCAGGTAAAAAGTTCCTGCATATGTAGTTCACCTGTGTGCTGCCATTTACAGAAGTACCTCTGGGGTTGTCATGTTTGTCTTGTCTTTACTACTTTGTGAGTCACTGATCTGGAACAGGCATGCTGAGATACTTGATATGTACACATTTGTATCCGGTCAGTGGCTCACTAAAGAGTGATGTGAAGATGGGAATGAAAGGAGAATAAAATTTAAAGAGGAATTTCACTACCCCAGATTTACTTTAGCTACAGCACTCTGTCCCCAGCCAACACCCCCCCCCCCCCCCAGCTGCCGTTCTTGCCTGGGCCAGAATGACATGTCCCTGCTCCTGTACCCTCCAGGGATATCCCAACCACATATCCCAGGAGGCTGCAGAAGCAGAGACACACAGTGACCAGCAGGTGGACCTGGAAGCATGTCATTAGGGGGCCTGGATGAGACAGTGGACTCTCGATAAAGTCAGAGAAAAAGATGGCGGTGAAGGACTTGGCATATGGCAGCGGATTGGAGAATCACAGCTGGATGGAATCACTGAGCAAGTGAGTACGTTTTCTGGTGATAAGCCTGCATAAAAGATAAGCAGGAATAGGGAAAGAGTGGCGGGTGAAGATCCTCTTTAAGGCTTTGTTTACATGAGCAACACTCTATAGGCCCTCAAAAGAGCAATCCATGCTCGATTTCTTTTCAAAGGGCAGTAAAGAAGTGCAAAAATTTTGCAAAAAGGAAATTTTTCTCCTTCACTGATGTGCGTTGATGAGGCTGCACTGATGAGGTCGCACTGGTGGGCATTGATGAGGAGGCATTGATATGCAGGAATGAGCGACGCTGATTGGCAGTGCTCTGATGATCATTACCGATCTGCTCTGTGACAGCTGCCGGTTATCAACAGTATTTACTCACACTAACTGCTGCTGATAACCGACAATTGTCATGGGACACAGCTGATCACGTGATAAAAGGCTGCTGTCATTGGCCTTTTACCTCATCATGTGATCAGCTGTGTCCGTACGACACAGCGATCACGGAGATCGCCGGGTACGCGCCACTGGGGGCGTGCGGGAGGGCGCGTTTTGGGAGGACGTCATTGTGTGACGATCACGGCGTCAGACCCCCAGCCCTTCTCACCAACTTGTGACCGAAGGACTAGCCAATCTAAAACCGCGCTGTTACGTGCGTAACAATGTCACACTCAGCTGCACCCTGTACAAAGATTTTCCAGCTTATGGACCACAATCTATGTACCTGCAGCCTGAGAGCGATTGTTACTGGGTCAGGTTAATTACACAATTAACCCTTCACACTGCCACCACCTCCTTTTTATAGAGAAAAGGAGGAAACTTGCCAATCTTAGCAGTAACACTATGTTTGAATAATCATCTGTATACCACTGTCAGCGCAGGCAGAGATATATAGAGGTTTAAAACACACAGTAGCGCTCTTCAGAGACAGGGATTCTTAGTTTACATTAAAGAGCTTTAGAAACAGTTCAACACTTTTCAGATAATAGGATTACTAAAAAGGTCAAAAGGGTGCAATAACAATATTTACAGAAAAAGACGTGGCCAATATATATATCTAAATACAGAGAGCAATAACACAGCAAAGAGAGAACAGAAAGAAGTTTTAGAGAGGTGGAGTACTTGCCAAAAGTCCTGGGTTAAGCAGATCAAGTTTCAGAGCAAAGGGTACCGTCTCCCAAGCTGATTCCTGATGTTAAAAGGGGAGAATTCTTCAACTACTGCTCCAAGCATAACGGTCTTTTTCTAGGAACTCAGCAGGGTGTCTCCTTACAGCAGAGAACCAATTGCCTCATTTGGGGAGGGGTGTTGTAGGCGGGGGACTCAGACTAGAACCAAAATCCCTCCCAAGTAATACCAGAGGCCATAACCTTCCCTAGGTACATGTAACATTCTATCCACGGGTAGATTAATATGCAGAATCATCTGCTGAACATCTAGATATCAAACATGGCATAGTTCACTATTTCAGCTAGAACTATATGGCTTTCTGCTCTCCTGTAGACTTCAACTAGGGGGTGTAAGATATCAGACGACTCGCATTAAACTGAGCTATCCGAATATATGCTTGGTTTTTATGTAATTATTTCTCATCTCCAGATATAAAATTATATGGAAAAGTGGGGTTTTAAATGTGTTGTCTGTCTGGAATGTCTTTCAAGCCCAGTAAAGGACTGGTTTATGGTTTTACGATTCTCTCAGATTGAGAAGCTAACAGACACCCGGGCACCAGCTAATTTGGGATTTATAACCATGAAGCTGTCCCGCTGTGCCTGATTGCCTGTGCACTTCTGAACCCAGACACTGGGACCACGTGTCACGCAACAGAGAGGGAGGGGGGATTGGTGGGAGATACAAGATGGAGGATCCTTAGCAAGATGGATGACCGCATCCATCTCTGTGTGCACAATTGCTACACTCGTATGTGGTTAAAGTGGTTCTAAAGCCTTAAGGTTTTTCACTTTAAATGCTTTTGATGCATTAGGGTGAAAAACCTTCTATGGTGCAAGATACCCCCCACCCCATATACTTACCTGAGACTGATCTGATCCAGAAATGTGCACGGAAGCAGCGGCTTTGCTGCTGTCTCCCTCCTCCCTGGGCAGATTGGCTCCTGCTGCTGTCATATAAATGCTGCGCCGAGCCTGCGCAGGGTGGGGCCGAGCCACCTGCTCTGTGTCCATGGATGCAGACAGGGCAGCTTGGGAGTGAAAGCCACTTTCCATGGGGACACCTGCCAAATAGGAAGAGCCTGGAGCACCAGTGGGGGACCCCAGAAGAGGAGGATTTGGGCTGTTCTGTGCAATATCATTGCACAGAGCAGGTAAGTATGTCATGTTTGTTATTTTAGTTAAAAAGAAAACCAAAAAAAAAAACCACAAAGGCTTAACATCGCTTTAAAACCTAAAATGTAAATTGTGCGCTGCCACTAATAAATTTTCATGTGAATAAGCAAAATAAAGCTGCTGCAAAACACCAATTCGTGTGTGGTCTTCACAAAAAAAGAATAAAACCAAAAGTGTACAGTGTTGCGCTACTCCAATAACAATACTAAATCTCTATCAAATATGCAAGCAATATAGTGCCAAGTCATACAAAATAAAATCAAAAGTAAATCCCATAAAGTCTCTTTCACTCAAAAATTTTGGTCCTATAGCCATTTCCCTGCTGGTGAGTGAGTTCACTTTCCCGGTGCTGTAAGCCTTATAAATTGAAGTAGATACTTGTGGACCCTCACCTTCATTTATTTATAAAATCTCAAGTGTGGCGGTGGTGGGCTTCCATTTATAAGGCTTACAGCACCAGGAAAGTGAACTCGCTCACCAGCAGGGAAACTGCTATAGGCGCAAAAGTTGAGTGAAAGACTTTATGGGTTTTACTTTTGATTTATATTTTGTTTATTGATGTCGTATGATTTAGCACTTTTCTAGCACTATATGGATTGCATATCTGAGATTTAGTATTGTTATTGGAGCAGCACAACACTGTACACTATTTTAGCTTTAGGGTCCGTTCACACACACACAAAAAAAAAAAAAAAAAAAAAAAAAACCGCAGTCCAGATGAGTTCTGGATGTTTCCGTTTTTGACATGTTCTAGTGCATTTTTGATGCATTCCAGTGCATTTTTCCCCCTCTCTTTTTCTTCAATTTAAATAG